TCGAATTAAGACTTTGCAAGAGCTTCACGGATTGAGGGCGGGCGGTTTTCAAAATGCGGTTCCCGCCTTGTCGCCGCGCACAGTCGTCTGAACAGATGGCAATGGCTTCACGGACTGGGGGCGAGCCGTTTGCAAAATGAGGTTCTCGCCTCCACGCACACTCGTCTTAAACATCGCAATTCGCGGAGTGAGGGCGGGTCCTTTTTCAAAATGTGGTCCTCGCCTTAGCGTCACATCAGTTGCAAGAAATTGCAAGAGTTTGACGGGTTCCGATGGCAACGGTTTTGGAACGACTCACGGCTGCCAGGGCGCAACGGCTACGTTGAAACGCGGTGTTGCAGTCACAGAAACGGTGTCCTGGCACGATTCAGGATCGTCAAGACGCAACAATCAGGTTGACCCGTCGCGCTGGAGTCATGAATATGGTGCTGTGGCACGCTTCAGGATCTTCCAACGGTTGCCTCCCAACGGGGCACTTCCCCGAGTGGAATGAACCCTTGCAAAATGTCCTATGAAGAGGGAGCCTGGAGGGAAGGTTCATTTCGCCATCACTGATGAGTCTTGGGTGTGCACTGGTCCCCCTCTTCTTCCTCCTCCTCCTCCTCCTCCTCCTCCTCCTCCTCCTCCTCCTCCTCATTATCACATTCATCACCATCATCATTACCATCATCGTCATCATCATCAGCAGCATCCCTTACATTCTCATCGCACTCCTCCTCCTCCTCCTCCTCCTCCTCCTCCTCTTCCTGCTCCTCCTGCTGCTCGCCATGCTCCCCCCTGTACCCTCGTATTCCTCCTCGCGCTCCTCCTCCTCCTCCTCCTCCTCCTCCTCCTCCTCCTCCTCATCCTCCTCCACTTTCTACTCCTCCTCCTCCTCCTCCGCCTCCTCCTCCTCCTGCTCGCCGTGCTCCTCCGTGTGCCTGTTTACTCGTTCTCCTCCTCCTGCTCCTCCTCGCTCCTCTTCCCCCTCCTACCTGTTCCTCGTCCTCCTTCGTGCTCCTCGCAATGCTCCTTCTCCTCCACCTCCTCCTCCTTCTCCTCCCCCTCCTCCTCCTCGTCCTCCTCTCCTCCTCCTCCTCATCCTCATCCTCATCCTCATCTTCATCCTTCTCCTCATAACAATGATTATCCTCCTCCTCCTCCTCCTCCTCCACCTCCTCCTTCTCCTGCTCCTCCTCCTCCTCCCCTGCCCCTTCTCTTCCCCCAACCCTGCCTCCTTCCAGCTCACCGCGCGCCCGCTCGAGACACCTCCACGATTTGCTCGGGCAGGGCTCCAGCCCGAGAGGCCCTCACAATCTACAAAGGCATCGTGCTCGCGCCTCGGCGCCGGCCACCTCCACCGTCGGGCCGGGAGCGCCCAGGCCCCTCCCAGAGCACACAGCGACAGCAGCAGTGGAATCCAATGGTGCGTTCGGGTCTGACCCCTCCTCGCTCCTCTAGAGGAAAAAGAACTATGCCCATACACCGATACTGGCCAGGCCCATCCTGAGCCCAGGATCGGTGCATACGCCCTCCTACCTTGGCCAGGAAGGCACATGCACCGATCCTGGGTCAAGGATGGGCCTTGCCAGGATCGGTGCTGAGCCCAGGATCGGTGCATACGCCCTCCTACCTTGGCCAGGAAGGCACATGCACCGATCCTGGGTCAAGGATGGGCCTTGCCAGGATCGATGCATGTGCATAGTTCTCTTCGCCCGATCCTCTCTCCTCCCTTGCGGAGCTCAGAAGGTCGAGGAGATCTCAGGCGAAACGGGCCAGAACACGTCGCGACCTCCTGGGTCACCAGTTTCGAAGTGGGAGAGTCATGGCTGGGGGTGCCGGTGGCTTGTGCTGTCCTCAGTCTCAAGCGAAACGCGCTGGACCACCTCGCGCGCGACATCTGGGAGCTCAGATTTGCGAGGAATTCTCAGCAGGCGGCGCCCAGACCCCTCCCAGAGCACAATTCGACAACAGAAGTGCAATCAAATGATTTGTTTGGGTCTGACCTTCCTCCCTCCTCTCTCCTTCCTCTCGGATCCCGGCGTTTCGAGGATGTCTCGGGCAAAACGGGCCAGACAACCTCGCGCGCGGCATCTTGGAGCCTCGAATTGCGAGAATATCTCAAGCGAAACACGCTGGACCACCTTGCGCACATTCTCTCAGAGCTCAAGGCCCCGAAGATGTCTCAGGCGAAACGCGCCGCATTCCCTTGCGTACATCTTCTCAGTGCCCAGAGTTGCGAGGACGTCTCAGGCGAATTGGTCTGGACCACCTCTCGCGCGGCATCGCGAGGATGTCTCCAGCAAAACGGACCAGACCACCTCTGGCGCGGCATCTGGGAGCCCAGTTGGGAGGATGTCGCAAAGCGTGCTGGACCACCTCGCGCACGGCGTCAAGGAGCAAAGAGATGCGAGGATGTCTCAGGCCAAACGGGCCAGACCACCTCTCGCGCGGCATCTTGGAGCTCAGAGCTGAAAGGATGTCTCAAGCGAAACGCGCCAGGCCACCTCGCGCGCGACATCTCGGAGCTCAGAGTTGCGAGGATGTCTCAGGCGAAACGGGCCGGACCACCTCGCGCGCGGCATCTCGGAGCTCAGAATTGCGAGGACGTCTCAAGCGAAACACGCTGGACCACCTCTCACGTGGCATCTCGGAGGTCAGAGTTGCGAGGATGTCTCGGGCGAAACGGGCCGGACCACCTCGCGCGCGGCATCTCGGAGCTCAGAATTGCGAGGACGTCTCAAGCGAAACACGCTGGACCACCTCTCGCGCGCGGCATCTCGGAGCTCAGAATTGCGAGGATGTTTCTGGATGTTTCTGGCGAAACGGGCCGGACCACCTCGCGCGCGGCATCTCGGAGCTCAGAGTTGCGAGGATGTATCTGGCGAAACGCACCAGACCACCTCGCGCGCGGCATCTCGGAGCTCAGAATTGCGAGGATGTTTCTGGATGTTTCTGGCGAAACGCACCAGACCACCTCGCGTGCGGCATCTCGGAGCTCAGAGTTGCGAGGATGTTTCCGGCGAAACGCCCAATCCAGGCCAACTCAGGAACTAGAGTTGCGAGGATATCTCAGGCGAAACGGCCGTGACCACAACATCTTCTTGAGGATGTCGCTGTGCGCCCGTCCCTCGACCAGAACTACTTCCGATCACAACAGCATCCCGTTCAGCAAGCTTTTTGCGGAAACCTTAACCATCGGAGGCCTGGGGGAGGAGGTATCCTGTCTTATCGGCCGAGCAGGGTGTCCTGGAAGACTTGACCAAACATGTAGTGTACAATCGGCGAACGGAAGCCTCTTGTGCATTGGATGAAGATGTGGGGGGCGATCAGCCAGGGGGGGGAAAGAGAGAGGAAACGGGGGAGGCAAGGCAACGACGAGGAAGGACTGGGCCGCACAAGCGCGGCCCAAGCAGGGGCGACAGCACCGCTCCGAACGACGGAAGCAGCGCACGAATCCTGAAATGCGACCAACGCTGCAGCGGGGACGCGATTTGAAAGGCCAAACGCGTTCCGGTCGGGGGGACAAGCGAAACACGTTGCAAGTCGATTCGGAACATCAGAACCATTACGTGGGAGAGGCGGGAATCTTGCTGGACGGTGTCGGAGGAGAAACGAGACTTGCTGAGAGAAGGATGACGGGGAGGAAGCGAACGGCGACGACGCCGAGTGAGGGGGGAGGAAAAACGGAAGAGAAAGTACGATGAAAGAATCGAGCATATGATCAAATATTCTCTCAGAAAGAATGACTAAGATAGCACATTGGAAAATAAGGGCAGGGAAGAGGAGACAAGAGAGATGTGCTCGCGCAATATTGACCGTCCTGCCCATCCCTCCAGTGTTTGTCCATTGCGCCGAGCCCTTCCCCACTCGCAGAGTCGGGCGTCGGGAAGGACATTGACCCAGGAAGAGCCGTTTTGCCATAGCATTGGCAAGGTCCGCCCTCATGGTCTCAACATCCCCCTCTCTTGATGACGTGCTAGCCACATCCACGTCAACATTCGCACCCTGGGGAGGTCGCCCGGCCGCTTGGGCCCGACTTGCGGGATACAGCCGCCGCCCGGCGGACTGCGGTGCACAGTGTCGACTCCGATGCCAGCCGCGAGCGTGCCCAAAAGCCCGCTCGAAATGCCACGGAGACGGCGCGGAGGACGAGGAGAAGGGAGGGGCGGCAAGAAGAGAAGCGCGGGTCCGAGGCCTTACCTGGATAGGAAGGAACGCGCAGTGGTGGTGAAGCAGAGCTCGAAGGCGCAGCCGACGACCAGGAAGCCCTGGTCGGACGGCACAACAGTTTTTGGCTAAGCTGGTAAGGAGATCGCTCACCAGCACCACCTGGTCCTCTAGCTGGAGGTCAACCTCGGTCACATCAGGTCCAACCAATATGGGTAGGGGATGGGAATCCTGACGAACAATTGTTCTTGATTCGCGGGTCGAACAAGACAATGCGGAATCCAAGAGGACAAGCAACGGAACCCTGGTCGGCGCGGCAGTCTGCCCTGCTTCGGCGCAGCTCCTGCGCCCCCGAGGGCGGGCCCCACGACGGTGAGTCCCGCCACCTCCCGACCGCCGCGCGCGCCTGGCGCAGCCGCTCCCTCGCAGCGGCGGCCCCTGCAGAGCAGGCGCCCGCGGGGTGGGCGCCAGGCGCCCTCTCGCTGCGCGCGTCCGCTGCTCCGCGGCGTGCTGCTGGTGCTGGTGCGAAGCCAGACAGAGCCGAGTTCCGAAGCTGTCCCCGCACGGCGGCGCGGGGGATCGTGCATGAAGCTGTGCCCCCGCAGGAGCTCCACGAAAAGTTGAATGGCGCCGCAGATCAGCGGTGTCGCGTCTGCCGGGGGGCAGAACAGCATCGCGGGAAGAGACCTTGAGCCGCAGTTGCGACCGGGAGGAGGAGGAGCAGGAAGAGGATGTGGGGAATGATGATGAGGAGGAGGAGGAGGAGCAGCAGCAGCAGCAGCAACAAGGGCACTGATAGGAGGGAGAAAAAGGCAATTCTAAAGAGGAGGGGCGATAATGAGGAAGGGTACCGGTTGGTTACGAACAGCACCACGTTGTCGGCCTCGTTGGCTGAGGCCAGTGGGTGGTTCAGCGGGCAACTCCTCAGTTTCACGCTGGCCTCGCCCTTCTCCACGTCGACTTGGCAGACGTAGTTCAGTTTTTCGCCCTTGTCCTTTCATGCAGTCAGATGCATGAGCGTTGCCACGTGTTCCCTTTCACCGCCGATCAGTCTTCCTCCTCCGCCTTCTACCCCAACTCGTGCTTCCTAACCTCCTCCTGCTCCTTCTCCTCCTCCTCCTCCTCCTCCTCATCTTCCTATCGCCACCTTGGTCCTCCACCTCCTCGTCTCCTCCTCCTCTGCCTCCTCCTCCCCTGCCTACTACTACTACTACTACTACTACTACTACTACTACTACTACTACTACTACTACTACTACTACTACTACTACTATACTAACTACTACTACTACTACTACTACTACTACTACTACTACTACTACTACTACTACTACTACTACTACTACTACTACTACTACTACTACTACTACTACTACTACTAAAGACTACTACTACAACTACTACTACTACTACTACAACAACAACAACTACTACTACTACTACTACTACTACACCTACTACTACTGCTACTACTACTACTTATACTACTACTACTACTACTACTACTACTACTACTACTACTACTACTACTACTACTACTACTACTACTACTGACTACTACT